GAGAGAGAGAGAGAGAGAGAGAGAGAGAGAGAGAGAGAGAGAGAGAGAGAGAGAGAGAGAGCTTAAAATCAATAAGGACTATTTATTGTCTGGATTAGCTATTCTAGAATATATGCAATGAGCACCGGAACAGAATAATCATGGACTTTAATGGGTATTGAATAAAAATGTGACTGGATGGCTAGTAGTAATGTGATACTAACATAACAGGCAAACAAGTGCTGAGGCAATAATTATTTGAAATATATAATATAAAGTGAAGACAGATTTGAAAAAATCTGCAGGAGGAAAATCACTTTTCTGACTCTAATTTTTCAAATTTTAGACATTTGTTTAAAAAAATATCACAAAGTTGTAGGCTCTCGAGAGTTCTAGACTTGTCATCAATGTTTAGGCAGAACAAAATATGAACTGGGTAAGAAAGACATTCCCACCCATTTTGTTTAGGCTGCCTATAAAAAAAATTATAAACTTCCTCAGCACACACCTTAGACAATATTTTCCCATGGATACATGAAGTGTACACTCTCACATTAATTCATACTTTCTGCTTTATTATGACTATAAATGTGAAGAATGGCTTATGATCATCTTTGAACAGAAACATTCAAAACTGTCTATTATTAAGCCTCCCCAGAGATTACTGATCTTAAGCTAACATAAACTTTTAAAACCTACGAATAACCTACAGACGACAGTCCAAATAATGACATTCTGTCAATTTTATTTACACTTTTATTTATTTGAACCCAAAAGTTCTCAATTTTTTACGTGGATTATCTAGAAAATAAATATTACCCTTGCCTTCATAAGCAGCATTAGAATGAGCAGGCACTTGTTAATTTGTATATTATCTGACTTATAACTTTATTTCACTAATGTCTGTTTAAAACTTGAGCTGTTCTGGTTGAAAAATGATTGAGTAAGTAAAAATAATGATAGGAAAATTTAAATAAAGGTCACTATTGCCAAGAAATGGGAGGTCAGATTTGCAATCCATTTGCATTTTCCCACTAAGATGGGTGGAGTTGATCTAGCAACATTTACAAAATAAGCTCATACAAAAGGGCACCACAACATATCAAAAGTGACTCTCTTCCTCTTCCACAGGGCGGTGAAGGCCAGGGATGAATTTCAAGAGTTGTTTCCGGACACTGCCCCTTCTGCTTTTCCGAGGCAGGGTCCCAAACATGCTTGAGAAGTTGCTTTCCCACATGGGAGACATGGACCCACTGCTGGCGGTGCTAATGCTCCGATTCCTCCTTGAAGATGACCTCTTCAAAAAATCATCCCCATCCTTGAGGACAAAGCACTCATCATCTGTGCTTGTCTGCCGGCTGAAGGCTCCCCTGCTCAAGTCCTCAGACACACATGTCTGGTAACCGTCCTCACTGTCCATTGTCATAGAGCTCAGCCAGCTCTTACAGCTGCTCTCACTGGATATTCGATTCCGTTCCAAGAGGGCTGGGCCTGGCCCAGGTAGGGTTCCAAACAACATTGATTCATCTATGTCCATGTTTTCCAAACTTGGGCAGTTAGCTGCATCACCTAGAATGCAGAAAACAAAGTCTACTGTTTAGTAGACTAATGGATCTGGGCATCAACTCCTACAAGTAAATACATCAAAATGTATCTTCAAAGGGAACAAGAAAGAGTGAGGGTGAATAATACTTTTCACTGAGCTTTGACTTGCATGAATAAGTGAGTGTGTATGAGACCACTTGATGATACACCTTGTAATAGGATTTCTCAAATTATTGTTCATGGACTACTTTCCATGTAAAATGGCTTCTATGGTCATGAAAATGGAATACATTGAATAAATGTAAACAAGATTGTTCATATCAGAGCAGTTTAACTCATCTGACAGTATGCCACAGTGTGACTTGTAAATTTCCAAAAGGATCATTTCTTAAGCTGAAGTGGCCCTGCAACCTTTTATTAAAATTCTCACACAAATGGGAATCTAAAGAATATTGTTGGGAAAATGCTATCTTATAAATATTCTCTATTTAGTTGCTCTGATTTTAAATTACTGTCTTTTTTAATAATTCTAAAATTATTATCACATTGTTTGAAATGTATGGGAAACACAGTTATAAAACCTGTACCTGTTGGCTCATTACAGAGAATTCAAAGGTGTTTAAAACAGAAAGGATATCTTCCAGCCTCAATATTCCAGTTTCTTTCAGAATATTTTTAATACTTTAATGCTCTGGAATGGTACTGTACCCAGAAAACAGCTCTGTCCTCAAATAAGTAATAATTCATTTGAAAAAAAATAAATGTTATCTCCTTAGCTAAATTTTTCATCAACCCTTTATAACCTATATCTGAACTCTCCAAACTCAAATTTTAATCACACACCAACATCTGTCAATACCCCACGTGTTTCAGTACTGAGTTGGTTGGTATGCTGCTAAAAGAAAGGCAATTATTTGTAATACTGGACTGAGAAAGACATACAGTCAGCCCTTGTATCAATGTGTTTCACATCTACAGATTCAATCAACCACGGACTAAAAATATTGGGGGGAAAATCTCCCAGAAAGTTCCAAAAAGCAAAACTTGAATTTGCCACACTGCCAAGCACTACACTGAATCCACATGAATGAAGGGATGCATAGGCATACCCTGCTGTAGCTCATATGTAAATATAGGTTATCTGCAAACACTAAGGCATTTTATTTAAAGGACTTAAACATCCTCAGATTTTGGTATTCACAGGGGTCCTGGAGCCAATCCCTCAAGGATACCAAAGGAACTACTGTAATTAGAAGGTAATTCTGCTTCAGGAAAAGTAATAGAATACTACTGCTGCTCTCCTTTGTCCTTGGTTGACCATATAAAGAGACTGTTTATTTTTCCATTTGATCTGAACAGTTGATTATTGCCAGCGCTGCAGTGACCAATCATAGTGCTTTTCATAATTTTTGCTAACATAACCTACTTTATTTCATCTCGCAACAAGTTGATTGAGCAGCAATTGCTTTGTAGAATCTCAAGAATGCTCCGGAAGTGGAGGCAAAGGTTTCCCAAACACCTTCAAGTCTAGAGAAATCCAGGAGGTAGCTGGATTTTGAAACTCTGCCTTGCTAGCAATCTTCAGACTCCCCCAAAATCTACTATGAATGTTTAAAAATATTAACTTAAAAACATAAAAAGAGAAGCAACTCATACATAAGTTGTATTTTTTTTTAAAAAGACCTCAACATAAATCTCTAGGCCATAAATTAGTGTCTAATTAAAAGTTAAACATATCTTTTTCCTGTAAACAGATGATTACTTTTGACAAATATCTAGTTATGAATAGAGACTTTAGTTTGGTATTACCTGAAAATGATATAACCTACATTTCATACCCACATAGCGAGTGGTTTCAGTGAATTATTTGTACATATAACTTCATTCCTCATAGCAAATGTCACATCAACAAATTTTAACTCAACCCTTCCCTTTATAATGCACACAATGGCAAGACCCATGAATTCACCATTATAATGATCATTTACATTTTTGTCTTGGGTTTGAAGGCCATGAAGGAGATTTCTCTGCATTAATGTAACTTACACAATTTGAACAAATGATAAGAGCTCTGCACAAGAAGCATGCTACCATTCCAGTCTCAATAGTTTCTGAGCACTACGCAGTCCCTGAGCCATAAATGTGCTCAGGGACTTCATTCATCAACTAAAGTCAGGCAATCACTCCTACTGCTCTTCTAAAATCTCAGGGTGCCTCTTGCAAGTATGTGCACACAGATGCACGTATGTATGTTTTCATGTGCATATGTGTTATATGTGTGGAAGAGGGGATGTGACTTGACTTATCCCTCCTCTAAAAACATAGGTCACTCTGAAGGTCACACCAAAGAAACACAGACTAGTATTCTTTATCCATGCTAGACTATTTTTTCTTGCAATGATGATAATCTCAAAGCAACTTATAGGCAGAAACACTGAAAGGGTAAAATGTTAGTGTGGTTTCTAAACAGGAAGTCACATTTACCATGAAGCAAGCGTTGTTCTTGTAACTGCAGAGATCTGAACTCCACCCATTTCTTCTTCAAGGTTTGCTGAGAAAAAAGAAAAAAGTGTTAATTATTAGGAAATCCCAGTGAAGATAGCAAATTACTTATAGCTGTTGAGATTCGTCATTGAATTTTTTTCTTTTCTTCCTAACACTAACAACCCCTACCATTCATTTGAGAGGTTTTTTGTTTGTTTTTTGTTTTTTCCTGTATAAAAGGAGGATACTGGAAACAAATACTACTTTCTCAAGAAATGATCTAGTAGAACAATGGCATTTATATATATATATATATATATATATATTTTTTTTAACTATTATAGAGTCAGATTGCTCAGGTTTGTGTCCATTTACTATTTGCTTAGGCAAGGGTTTACTCTGTAGGCTGCCCCCATCTGCAAGACAAAGACAATAATAGAACCTAAACCCTGGGATTGTCATGAGGATTAAATGAGTTAGTAGATGTTCAATGTTTAGAACAGTAACTAGAGCTTAGTTAGTAAATGTTCAATAAATACTATCATCATCCTATAAGCCTGGGTCACTAGAACAGTCTTTTCTGCTGGACAGCTATTTATTTTTCACACTTAAAAGGAGAAGTCTACCTGTTCTGAATGGCTTCCTTGGAGAACTAAACTTAGATCACTGCTAAGCACCTTAACTTAACTGCTTCCTTCCTCGGATGCCCAGCATATAGGAGGAGTGGCCCAGGATGGGGATGAAGTGGCTGCTGTAATGGTTGAGACAGCACACGAGGCCTGTTCTAGCACACAGACCAAGCTGAGGCAATGAGAATCGAAAGCCAGCCAGGCTGAAGGCATCTGACAAGGCACCTTCAAAGTCTTGTCCTCCCTCCAGCTCATTGTCCTCTACTCCACCCATCTCTTTGTCATTTCAGGTCCCCACAGCCAGCCCATCAGGCAGGCACAGCTCAGATTTGCCTGTGGACACTTAAGCCAGAGGAAAGGCAGCCTAATTGGAAACAAGGGGTCCTTTGTATGAAGCAATCTGGAAAGGGCAGATGAAAGCTAAAAAGGAAGAGGGGGGGAAAGTACATTTGGAAGAGGAAGGCCTAAGGAAAAGAAAATAATAAAATTACAAGAACGTTATTAAATGCTTAAGGGAAAAAATGGCTGGTTTCTCAATTTAGGGACTAAACAATCACTGGGCAGGGTTTTTTAATCCTTGATAAGAGAAATATTTAGCAGCAATCCTCATGGTTGCCAATATAATATACAGGCAATAAATCAAAGCCATAAAATGTTTGGCTCCATTAATTTCTTGGTTTTTTTGTACTATAATATTGTCTATATGGCTATTAGACTGCTGGATTACCTGCATCACAGCTTTCATTACCTGCATAAACCTGTGGTCATGTGAAGGTCAGTGTTAGGAAACCCACAGAGTATAGAACTAACAAGTGTCTGGCCTATAAACCAACCTCATTCTTCTTTCTTAAAGAGGTTTACTTTTTACAAGAGAATAGAGTCCAACAGGGGAGCATAAAGATAGGTTAACAGTCAAAATTAAATATAGCGAGAAGAGGAAGTTATATTTCTGCACTTACTATTTAGAAATACAAAGTCAGAGCTTGCCAAATAGCTAATTTTTATAAAAATAATGGCTTTAAAATATCTCATTTGTTGATTTGGCCCAGTCATCTAAGTATGTCGTCACTTAAACCAAGAAAATACCAGTGTAAAGAGCAGCTGTGTCAGTGACTAAGAGTTTTTAGAATATATGTAAGCTTCCCTATTTTCCTCAGAGTCTGTTTCTGCCTGTTATTAGCATCAGAGTTGTGTATTTGGACAAATTTACTCTCCCACCATAAGAAGAAAATTAAGGCACATGTGAGATCTAACCATACTGAGCCACAACCCCTCACTGTGCCTAGATCAGTGCCTGGTACATAGCAACTACTCAGTAAATACTGGTTGAGTGAATATATGAAAGAATAGCTTCCTGAAACAGTGCTCAACTATCACAGATTGGACATTTTAGATTAGATGGTTTTCCAACGTTTTAAACCTACATGAGACAGACATATAGCTAAACATTTCAATGGCGCTTTACTACTTTCACAGTGCTTTCATGGATACTATGCTATTTAATTTTCCTAACTGTCCTAAAAGTTTCAGATTAGAAAATAAAGGTTTAGTGTAGCAAAATATTTCCCAAAGGCTACAAACCCAGTAAATGACAGAGCTAGATTAAAAAGTAACTCCCCCAGCTAGTCCATCAGATGTACCGTTTTCATAGTAAACTTTTGAGTCATAAGTCATGAGAAAGGGAATCCCTGAAAGCACAGAGTCTTTTGAGGGACAGAATGTACCCTTACAGGACACACAAACTAAATGTCATTGTGTGAAGGGGAAGCCAGTCTAACCCCAGTTATAGGTCAGACCCAGACATTTCTGGCTCAAGAGGTGAACTGGAAATCTCATCATTTCAAGATTAGAAAAAGGACAGAAATGCAAGAAGGTAAGCAGGAATAAACCCAAGGGTCTGCTAGACCTGGAGAAGCAGAAAGAGGCAGCTAGGAATTTGGATCCTATGGTGATATATGTTTTAAAGGCACTTACGCAGCATAGGATAGAGGCAAGTTTCACACTTGAGAAAAGAGCTTGGTTGAAGCTACCACACCATGAAAAGGAGGCTGGAGAAAGAGGCTGGTGGTGGTTATGACTCGAGCACAGCCTGTACCTAGAGGCAGGAGTACATAAACGCAGCCTCGTGACCTGAGCCAAGCTTCACACTGACCCTCCAGGGAAGGCAGCCAAGCTGCCAGAGCTGGCTCTGGATTGGGAGCCTTGAAGTGAACAAGGCAACGGCCCAACTATCACACGAAGCAGAAGGGAGAGGTCACCCTCAAGGGAAGTGGGAAATCTACACTCCAAAACACCCACAAAGTTTAGTGACAAGAAAGACAACAAAACTGAACATCAGTACTTGGATTCTCGCCAAATAAAATGAAAAAAGAAAAGTGTCCAGAGAAGACTTTAAAACAAGAATATTTACAATCTTTTGAGATAGAATGAGATCGATGTTAATAAGAACAAGAAATTTGAAACAAAGAAATAAAACAAGAACAGATAAACATGCAAAAGAGCTATTTGAAAATTAAAAACTTAACTCTTAAAACTCAATAAGAAGAACACATTCTATACAGGACACAGACAACATTATTGAAAATATACTAAGGAATTCAAAAAGAACATAAAAAAGATAAAGTAATACAAAATATGAAAGCTGTTAGGAAGCATGGAAGATAAATCAAGAACTCTAAAATATGTCTCACTGGAACTCTAGAAGATAATTCAGGGAATGGTAAAGGAGGTATAGGTGAGCCTTGAACAATGCAGAGGTTAGGTACACAGACCCCACCCCCCCACAGTAAAAAATCTGCATATTAACTTTTCTCCCCATAACCTAACTGCTAATAACCTATTGTTGACTGGAAGCTTTACTGATAACATAAACAATCAATTAACACATATTTTGTATGTTATATGTATTATGAACTGTATTCTTACAATAAAGTAAGCTAAAGAAAAAAAAATATTATTAAGAAAATCATAAGAGAAAATACATTTGCAGTACTATATTTATCGATGCCATAAGTTTACATCATCTATTTGCAAGATGAAAAATAATCTGTGATAGTGGACCTGTGCAGTTCAAATCCATGTTGTTCAAGGCTCAACTGTATATTCAAAGGGATCAAGATAATAGTTTTCCAAAACTAAAGAAAGGCACAAGTCTTCAGTTTGAAAGGGCAGTGCAAGTTCCAAGTTCCAAGCAATATAAATTTAAAAATGAATTCAGAGCTAATCACATTGTGGCAAAACTGTAGATCAGTAAAGACAAAAGAACATCTTAAAAGCAACCAGCAAAAGATGAAAGATTGCCACAAACTGAAGTACTGTTTTTTTAAAATACTCAAAGATAAAAAGTCCTCTAGAGAGAATTACCAAGAAAAAAAAGAAGAGAAGGCATAAAAAGTAGTAGAAATAAAAATGGGAACATGATCACAGTTGTAATAGAAAACAAAAAGCTGAGAATAAAATATTTTTTAACAACTTCATGCAATAAATTTGAAAATTGAAAAGCTTTATTAACAAAAGCATAATTCAATAAAGCTGGCTCAAAAAACAAAACAAAACAGGACACAAAGCCTGAGCAGTCTTATAACTAATAAAGAAACTAGAACATAATTTAGAAGTATTCCCACCACAAAAAGAACTTCAACCCCTGATGATTCTGATAGTGTTACAAGTATTCTACCAGAGAACAAAAAGGGGAAAATACTCCCCAGCTCATGCTAAGAGTAAATATAATACCAAAACTAAATAAAATAGTCAAAATAAGTCCCTTTAAAGTCAAGAACAACGCAAGAATGCCTACAATTATAGTTTCTATTCATCATTGTACTGTAGGCCCCAGGTGGTAAAGTAAGAAAAAGAAACTGAATGTCATTCCTAACAGGTAGTTATAATCTTTATAGAAAACCTAAATAATAAATAATTTATTAGGAATTATATAGTTGAACAAGGTGTTTGAATATAATAACATACCAATACATTAATTTCAAAGTGTTAATAAACTATAATAAGAACAAAAATCCTAAATTACAAAAGAATAAATCTATTAAGAGCTTTATAGGGTCTATTTGCATATAACCATAAAAATGTATTTCTAGACAGAAAGAAAACAAAAAATGGGGAGTTCATCTGTTAGTAAGAAAATGCAATACCATATGGATGTCAAGTCTCCTCAAATCGATCTATCTATATAAAATGTAATACCAATCAAAAACTCCAACATTTATTTATGGAACTTGACAGTCTGATTCCAAAATTTATATAGACAACCAACAGACCATGAGTAACCTGGAAGGCTTCCCCAATCAGATATCAATATTTACCACTATTGTATAATAACTATCTTTAAGATAAACAAATGGATCAATGATTCAGAATAGGGATCCTGTAAGAAAATCCATGCATATATAGAACTTGCTTAAAAATAGATTTTCACTGCAGGTTAAGTGGAGAAAAGCACTCCATGATACTGGAAGAACTAAGTACTCATATAGAAAAAATAAAATAAAATTGGAACCTTTTCTCACACTAATAAAAAAATTCTGGATGAATTAAGGACTTAAATGTAAAAAGAAAACTTTAAAACTTTTAGAAGATTATATAGAAAATTCAGATTACTCACAAAGGATAAACAATTAAGAGCTCTCTCATAAGCAAAATATCAAAACAGCAATATATTCAAAGTGCTAAGGGAACAAAACATCAACTTAGAATAATTAAATTACCTAGCAAAACACTTTCAATAGTAACAGGGAAATAAAAGGTTTCATTTTATTTGGCAAATAAAGACCCTCACTGAAGGATGTACTAGAACAAGAAGGAAAGTCAACCCAGAGGTAAGGAACCAAATATAACAAAAAAGGAGAGCACATCAATTCAACAGGTTCGTATATTTGTTCACTACCAGCTATTTAGAACAAAACCTATATTTTTTTCATTTTAAAATTTGATGAAAAGTCTCTTAAGTAAACAATAATAAGGAAGACTGGGGCCTTAAATGGATATTTAAAGCATGCTAAGGTCCTCAGGATATCTGGGAGAGGATGGAGATATTAAAAATGTATACATCTGTTAAAAAAAATAATAGTTAAGTATATATGTTAAAACTCAAAGAGAAATGTTCAAAGAGCAGAAACTGGTTAGATGCATGACATGTGTGTTGTACAAGTGTACTTTATTCCATGGAATATAAACTTCTTTTTTTTTCATTTATGTCTTAGATAACTTCATTAGTTTATTCTATATATTTCCTTCCTTTTCTACAAACGATTGAGAAAGCCAGATTTACATTTTAAATTTTAATAAGACTATCTCCTTTTTGCAAAAACAAATTAAGTTTTGACAGTTTTAAAAACCTAAACACAATATGAGACACTGTTTATGTAAAAATAAAATGCTATAGACTTTCCCCTTAAAGTCAAGAATAAGACTATCATTATTTATAATATACTGAAGGTTCCCGCCAATGCTATAAAAGAAGAAAAATTAATTAGTTGGATAATTGGAGGTAAAGGGGCAAAACTTTCATTATCTGCAGTGATATTATGTCTATACAGAAAATCTAAGGAAACCTATGAAACTTTTATAAAAATAAAGGGAGCTCAGAAAGACAATTGGATTTAAAAATCAATAACAATAAATTAAATGATCATTTATTGGGTTGTTGGAAAAGTCATGACTTAGTTTTTCTATTTTTTTCTTTGCAAAAATGCATCATGACTTTTCCGACAACCCAATAAAATTAAAAGGTCATATGTATTAAGCAAGAAAAATTATAAGGTACATAAGAATAAATATAGGGCCAGCCAAGTGGCGCGTTGGTTAAGAGCTGGCTTGGGACGCCAGAGGGCCCTTGTTCGGATCCCACATATGAGGGCCAGTGACACTGCCCTCTACAGCTAAGATGCTGAACAACAGCTCCATCTGGAGCTGGGCTGCCAGGAGTCACCAGCGAGGGCGTAGGCTGCAGCCCCTGCTGCAGTGGGTTGCCATGGGCTACCATGTATAGCCAGCAGCCAGCGTGAGTGGCCAGCAGCTGCAGTGAGCGGCCGTCCAGAAGCCGTCGACTGATCTACCTTGCCCAGGAAGAGCGCAGTGATGGTGCCAACTTGGGCCAGTGAAGCAACCTCCTCCACAACTAGACTGAAGAATGAAAGGACAGCAACTTGTCTGTTCCCTATCCCCCAATTCCCCAGCACTGTTCCCATCCCCCCAATTCCCCAATAAAAATCTTTTAAAAAAATTAAAAAAAGAAAAGAAAAACCCATAAAGATGCCAGTTGATCTCAATTATTCTATAAATGCAATTCAATTCCTATCAAAATCTGAACAGAAGGTTTTTTCAAAGAACTTTACAAATTGTTTCTAAAATATTACAGGGATAAGCAAAATAAGAAGAGTATAAAACCAATGCTGACAGAAGTAAAGAGGGCTTGCTGATGAATTAGATGGGGAAGAGAATGCAAGGTAAAATATAAATCTAGTAACTCCACCCTTATGCACTCAATAATTAAGAAGTGTCTACTTCATTAAAAAAAGAAAACAAACAAACAAAAAAACTAAACTACAAAATGGCAGCAAGTGAGCAACCTGCCTCTAGCAAACCATGCAATCCTTGCTCAGAGAGGCTGCCTCGTTGTCATGCAGGAGCAGCCCTGGGATAAAGAGGTCGATGGAGGCTGTGGGGAGACATCTACAGGAGTCCAACCCAGATGCATATGAGTGAGGGTCTGGATTTCATGGCCCTGCAGAGCCTCACCAATCTCACATTTTGATATTTTAAGACCCTGAAGAGCCATCCATTTGAACATTCTGCACTGAGCACTTTCTCCTAACAAATTTAATTTTTATGTCTTCAGATTTGATAGTGTGTTTGCCAAGAAGTAGAAAGAACAGCCACAGGAGTACAGGGATATGATTTTTGTAGTAAGAATGATGCAGAAAGGAAGGACACAGAAGAAGAAAACAGGAAGCCAAAATCTAGGCCCTTTTGCACAAACATGCAGCACTTGGGAAAATGACAAAAAGACCAGCTCTTCCTCAGTTTGTTTTTTTTCCAAACAAAATGTAAATCAACGGAGATCCCAGGTGCATGAATGAAAAGTTCTTCAAGTGATGGCCTTCCTGTCGTCTTTCTGAGTCTCATAGACACAGAGAAGGAGGAAGGGAAAAAGCCATTTTCATTGGTTTGTGGAATTTTATATACCTGCAAAGGTCACTGTGTGGCTTTTTGATAATTCAGCAGTTCAGACTCATCATGACATTTCATTTTCAAGGGCTATCTCAATTCCTCAAATAGATATTTATTTTACCATTCATACTTTCAAGGATGAAAAATGTGCCTAACTATATTAAATTAAATTACCTTTAAAGCTTGCAGCTTTGCTTCAAGCTCTATTCTTTTGAGAATCGTTGTTCCATTAAGAGTCTCTATCCTGTTTTAAGAAAAAAAGGGAGGGAGGGAGATAGCATGAGTGATCAGTCAAACAAGTACCAACCTTATGGAGCGCTAAAATTTGAGCACAGACTAGCCTTAAAAAGCAACAAAAATGTTATGGTTCTCATGACACATTAGTATCTGGACCTAGGCCACATCAGAGAAAGAAAATGGAAAACAAACAAGCAAACAAACAAAAAACTCCCCTTGAGAGGATAACTGAAAGAAATAATTCTGGTTAATTTGTGAACTGTAGTTCATTTTATAGAAGGCACATATGGCAATGATGGTTGTCCTCTACTAGAATCTATTCTTGTGGGGTCTGGCTGAATCACCTTTCATTTGGTGGATGTTTATTGGGCATCTACTCTCTGGCAGACTGAAGACACCGTGCTAAGCACGTGTGGTACAACAATAAGAATAACAAGCACTAGGACTTTCAGACAGTGGAATCAACATGTTATTTCCTGAAACAGGGAAAGATTCTCCCTCCATAGGATTCCAGGAGCTTTTACCTCTGCAAATTGCCTTAATTTTGGAACTAGAACAAATAAAACCAGAACTACTATGAGATAATAATCTTTATATGACTCTCTCATCTCAAAACCTTTCAAGTTTACAAACTTTAATCAATTTAATAGTGTTCTTTCTCCCTCTACCAAATACCTTGCTAAAAATAAAAAGATTTGTTCTATCCTGAGTGATTTGATTTGTGTTGTGAGCACAAGTTAGAAGCCTTTATTTTGATTACTAAGCCATCAATCTGAATAAGATAAATTTCATGTGTGAGTCACACACCCAAGCATTTTTAAAGTATTGGTTCAAACTCCTTCTGATAAATAAGCTGTCACTCTATTTATAAAGATGCAAGAGGGCCGGCTGAGTGGCGCGATGGTTAAGAACTCGCTTGGGATGCCAGAGGGCCCCGGTTCGGATCCCACAT